AAGATGACAGAGCATCACTTGCCCCAGAGTCCCTATCTATACCTTGTGGCTAATAGTGTTGTCATCTATATCACAGTGTTTGTTTGTTTGTTGCCTTTTCTATACCTGTGATCCCTTCTTGGTTTTTTTCTATGATGTAAATAAAGCAATGATAAAAACACATCAAAGGCCACAATTTAAATCCTCAGGAGAGGTGGTCTGTGCAGAAGAGTGCAGGACTGAGGACGGCCCACTGAGACCCCGTCCTGAAAGGAGCCTTTGCCGTGGATCGAAGAGATTGATATACCCCTTTCCAAGCCAATTTGGTGTAGTGGTGAAGTGCGCGGACTCTAATCTGGGAGAACCGGGTTTGATTCCCCACTCCTCCACTTGCAGCTGCTGGATGACCTTGGGCAAGCCGTAGTTCTGGCACAGCTTTTCTTGAAAAAGAGCCGTTTCTGTCAGAGCTCTCTCAGCCCCCCCTACCTCCCAGGGTGCCTGTCTGTTGTGTGGAAGGGAAGGGAGAGGAGTTTGTCAGCCGCTCTGAGCCGCATCTCTCTCACTCTCTCTCTCTCTCTCTCTCTCTCTCTCTCTCTCGTCTCCTCCAGCATTGCCATCGGCTCTTTCTTGGAATTCCAGCAGGCCGCCTCCCGACAGCGCCCGGATGCCGTCCTGAGGCGGCAGCAGGAGCATTTGGCACCCAGCGGGACAGAGACAGATCGGCTCCTTCCCCCCACCGAACACAGCCCCCTGGTGAAGGCGGCGGTCTGGGGCCTGACAGCTACCCTGGGGGCGGCAGCGCTGGCGGTCACGCAGACGGCCTTGGAGTGGGCCCCGGAGTTCCTCCTGCAGCTCTTCTAGCGTCAGCCGGGCGGGATTTCCGCCGTGAGCAAAGAGCGCGGCTCCGTGCCGTAGAGACCGGGATGCTCTGAAGGACGCAGGGCGGCCGAAACACAGGCCCACGGCCCAGCCTGGCCGCTGCTTACTCCGCCCTGGACCCCCACCCAGCAAGAGGAGGGGGGCTTCCTCCCTGCCACGGAGCTTCCGCTTCCAGCTCAGCACTGCCCTGCCATCTGTGTGTGTGGGGGGGTTGTTTGTTGTGTGCACGCCTACGCAAGGGGGGAGCTGTTTGTCTGAACAGTGCCTGGACGGGCCAGAACGAAGCCCGTCCCAAGGCCCCAGCTGCACAGGCGGCTTCCTTCCGGGGGTGGTCTTGGGGCCGGCTTGTGAGCAGTGTTCCCTCTAAGCTGAGTCAGTGTGAGCCGGCTCACAGTTTTTCAACCTCCGGCTCACACATTTTTGCCATGGCTCAGGAAGAGATGGGGCTCCAGAGCAAACTAAGTTATGCAGCAGCCAAATCGCTCGCTCACAACTTTAACACCAGCAGCTCACAGAGTAGAATTTTTGCTCACAAGACTCCACAGCTTAGAGGAGGAGGAGGAGGAGATTGGATTTATACCCCACCCTTCACTACCCAAAGGTGTCTCAGCGTGGCTTACAAACTCCTTTCCCTTCCCCTCCCCACAACAGACACTGTTCCCTCTACGCTGAGTTAGTGCGAGCTAGCTCACAGTTTTTCAGCCTCCGGCTCACACATTTTTGCCATAGCTCAGGAAGAGATGGGGCTCCAGAGCAAACTAAGTGATGCAGCAGCCCAATCGCTCGCTCACAAGTTTAACGCCAGGAGCTGACAGAGTAGAATTTTTCCCTCGCAGGACTCCACAGCTTAGAGGGAGCATTGCTTGTGAGAGGGTAGACGTGTGAGTGAGTGGCCCATGACAGGAAGCTTTATGGGGAGCAGCGGCCACTGCCAGATGGCGGTGAGCTGCCTTGGAATGGGGGGGAGGAGTGTCTTAGGCACCTTGCGACATCAGGAACATCCGAAGCCAGGAGCCTTTGGTCTCCTCGCACATTTGTGGCCTTGCATCGACTTCCCCTTCTGCTCCCGGCGTCTGTCAGCAAAGCCCAGCCGTCTGTGCCTTTCATCTGGATCTCTGCCGTCCTCTGTCTCCCTCGATCAAGGACTTATTTATATCCTTACTGTCTTAACTCGTGCCCAACAGGAGACCCAAAGCTGCTTACATCCTTCTCCTTGCCTCCATTTTATCCTCACAACAACCCTGCAAGGTAGGTTAGGCTGAGGGTGTGTGACCAGCCCAAGGTCACCCAGCGAACGTCCATGGCAGAGGGGGGATTTGAACCTGGGTCTCCCCGATACTAGCCTGACACTGTAACCACTGCATAATAAACAAAAGTGATACTGCAGTACAATATGATCGAAGTACAAGAGTACCCTGCATAAACCGCGCCGACAGAATAGCGCTCAAAAGTATAATTCACATGAGTGACAAGTAAGTGACATAAGCTTACATGAATGGTTACAAGAACCCATATGTACTTGCAGACTACGACAGCACTAGCGTAAGACACTGAGTAAGTCCTCTTTGAATCACATTAGTAACAAGCAGGGGTCATTTCCTGCAGGAGCGCACAGGAGTGGAGCTCCGGCAGTAAAGAGCCCAGGGGGCGGGCACATGCAACAAGGCCCCCCCCTGCTCCCAGCAGCCCTCAGTCAGAGCAAGAAGCAGCCACGTAAGTTGCAGAGCTCCCCCCCGCCCCCTTGGTCCAAAACAGTCCAGTGGCGCCTTTAAGACCAAGTTTTATTCAGGTACGAGCTCTCCCTCCTCTACGAGGACAGATCTGCACCTTCCCCCCCCAATAGCTAGCAATCCAAAACAGTCCAGTGGAGCCTGAGCGGCGGGTGTTGCCTTCTGACACACTTCCGGTGATGTCAGGGGACGTGGCATATGCAAATAAGTTATGCTAATGAGCTATGCTAATGAGCTCCTGCACCTCTTTTTCTACGAAATGACCCCTAGTAACAAGTAAGTAACATCAATTTACATGAATGGTTACAAGAACCAGTATGTAATTACAGTCTACAACGCTAACATGTAAAGTAAGACAGAGCAAGATACGAAGATTCCGGATTTCACTCTTTGTTTCGATGATTCTTCCTCAGATAGCTGCATCAGGCACTTAACATATAGAAGCCTCCAAGAATTAGGTACAGGCTAAACCACCGTTTATGTGTATGTAGACAATCCGAAATGGGCCACCGATCTGTAGCAGAGCGTATTCCTACATTACTTGTTACTAATATGATTCAAAGAGGACTTACTCGTGTGTCTTACTCTAGTGCCGTCAATGTAGTCTGCAAGTACATACTGGTTCTTGTAACCATTCACGTAAAGTTAGGTTACTTACTTGTCACTAATGTGAATTATATTTTTGTGCGTTATTCTGTGTTGTTTATGCAGTGCACGCTTGTTCTTCACTCTAACCACTGCACCACACTGCACGCGAAGGAATGAAAGAAGCTCCAGCCCGGGGGCCTTGAATCAATGCCCCCTGTCCCTGCCACTGGCCTACTCGTGGGGCACGCAGCCTCCAAGCCAGCATCCCCATCTAGAGGTTCCAAGGGCGACTTACTCTGAACAAGGAAGTCCATATCTCCTCGAACAATTGCACTTTGACAGTTTCCTCAACCTGCCCGTTAACTCCTTACAGTTCAGACAAAGCAGGGACAGAACTTCCAAATGTCCAGGACAAATCAGGACACCTTTGTAAATTTCAACAGCCAATCCATATGCAAAAGAACCTCCTCAGGAAAGCTCCTCCATTAGCATGTTTTACAGCCTGGGGGACTCCTACAAGACAATGACTCAGCCCTACCCCACCTTCCTGAAGATATAAATTACCTGCCTACCATTTTCCTTCTCACCTTGAGACAGAGAGTATTCCGTCTTTCTGTGTTATACTTCTGAGGATGCCAGTCACAGCTGCTGGCGAAACGTCGGGTCCTACAATGCGAAGACCACGGCCAGACAGCCCGGAAAATCTACAACAACTAATCTTTGTAAATCATTATTTATTAGGAAAAGGCAGACAGGCACACTGCTACGGCATCGAGATGAACAGCATTGCTCTTTCCACTGCCTGAGTATGTCGGAAGCTGCCTGGGGGATGCTTCGAAGGACAGGGTTGGAATCCTTTGCTGCTCTCAGACGTACAAGCCTGCTTCGTTCTGAGCTGCGGTTCTGGATTCCAAGGAGGTCTCTTTGTGGCTCCTTTGTGCTCCGCTACGGCACCGTCCGGATTGGGCCCCGGTGACTTGGTTGGGTGCTCCGTGCACCAGAGCACAAGACGTTGTGACCAGCCAGTGTGGCGGCGGCAGCAGCAAACATCCCTGAGTTCGCCCCAGTGGGCGAGAAGGTGTGAGTGAAACCCAAGTCTGGTTGCCCCTCCTGGACACAGCGGCTGCCCGATTGGACCTTTCAGCGGGCTCCTTCCCTGTGGCCAGAAGGAATGGTGCATGGGCAGAGCAGTGGGGAGACCGGCTCCCCTGCCTGAGAGTCTTTGTGCCTTGGCTAAAATGACTTTTTCGGTCGGGTTTAAGGAGCCAGGAGAGCAGAACCTTGTGAAGCAAAGGGAAGCTCTCTAACAGGAAATAAATACCTTTGACCTATTCCTAGGCCTCTGGTTGTCATTAGTAAATCTCCTGTATAAATGTGTGTGTGTGTGTGTGTCCCCTTTTCGTTAAAGGGTGTCAATATGGAGACAGCTGAGTTTTCCTTTGTGGAACTACGTAGGGAGTAGTGTTCCCTCCAAGCCGAGTTAGTGTGAGCTAGCTCACAGTTTTTTAGCCTCCGGCTCACAGATCTTTGTCTTAGCTCAGGAAGGGGATGGGGCTTCAGAGCACACCGATTTATGCAGGAGCCAAATCGCTCGCTCACAACTTTAATGCCGGTAGCTCACAGAGTAGAACTTTTGCTCACAAGACTCCACAGCTCAGAGGGAGCATTGGTGGGGAGTGAAAGGGTTCGATCCCCATATCCCCTCTCCAAGGGACCTTGGTTTGGAGCTTCAGTTGAGCTTTGTTGGGGGGGGGAGAGATGTCTGCTAATGGCCAGTCCAGGTGGTCACATGACGGGGGGCGGGGAACAGAGACCCCCCTCCGCCTAGTCAATGGGCCGGAAGGTGAGCAGGGGGGGCTTCTCCGGCATGAGGATGAAGCCAAAAACGGTTTTAATGTCTGCCTTGGAAACGGTGTCGATTTTGAAGTTCCGCAGCATCTGAAACGAAACAACAAACACAGCAGAGGTGAAGCTGGAGGAGTTTGGGCTGTGAATCAAGGAAGGGCAGGAAGGGTAGAATCATAGAATGTTAAGAGTTGGAAGGGACCTTGCAGGTCATCTAGTCCAACCCCCTGCACTCTGCAGGAGCAGAGCCAAAAGATAGCCCTACATACCTACAACAGACCAAAAGATGGTCGTCCAGCCTCCGCTTGAAAACCTACAGCGAAGGAGCATCTACCACCTCCTGAGGCAGACTGTTCCACTGCTCAACCATTCTTACAGTCAGGAAGCTTCTCCTGATTTTTAGCCGGTAACGACTTCCTTGTAATTTCCACCCATTAGATCTAGTCTTGCAATCCGGAGCAAGAGAGAATAGATCTGCTCCGTCATCTACATGACAGCCCTTCAAGTACTTGAAGATGGCAATCATGTCCCCTCTAAGCCTTCTCTTTCCCAGGCTAAACAGACCCAACTCTTTCAGCCTTTCCTCGTAAGACTTGGATTCCAACCCTCTCACCATCCTGGTTGCCCTCCTCTGGACAACCAGAGCTGGATCACATTGGTGCTTAGTTCTGGTGGCCCTTTCTTACATGCCCAGGAAAATGCCGACCGCCACTCTGGGGTCAGGAAGCAGTTTTTCTCCAGGCCAGTTTGGGTGGAGATCCTGGAGGGTTTTTTGTCATCATCTGGGCATGGAACAGCAGTCACTGTGGGTGTGGGGGAGAGGTATTTGTGAATTTCCTGCATTGTGCAGGGGGTTGGACTAGATGACCCTTGGAGGTCCTTTCCAACTCTGTGATTTTATGATTCTAAGCTGCAGGGGGGACCTCCAGGTGGATGGGGCCCTTTCTCCTCGTCGTTCTCCCTTCGAAGCACTTTCTGTTCTGCAGTGTGCAAACAGTAAACCGGAAAACAGGCTGACAACTCAGCGCTTAGGATGGAATAAAATACAATTTCTCCACTGTGTTTAACAATGTTATTTTAGCTAATGACACATCCACATTATTACCTATTCTGTCTTTCATATGCACACCAAAAAGCGGGTTCAAAAGTACAGGGAAAAAGTGGGTTGACGAAACTCCCCGGAGTTGATTTTCGTTTCGTTCACAACTTCATCCGAACATACTGAAGCACCGTGGTAGTCTCTCTTGCAAATCTACTATTCACAGTGTCTTCACATGATATTCCATGCTATGATTTCCAATACTAGAACGTATCCTCATCCATTTTACTGGAGAATGTTATCCCGGGCATACAAATGGATCAATTTGCCCGTTTTCCGGTTTACTAGCTGCAGTGTGCAAAGAGAGAGAGAGCAGACCGTGTCACGCCAAGCAAGGAAGCAGAGACACGGAACTGCCCGCTTGCAATTGCTTGACAGCACGATCCTGTGCAGAGTGGTGGCAGTTCGATTGATTAAATTTCTACCCCGCCCTCTCCACCGAGGCTGGCTCAGTTCAAACCCCTTGATTTCGGTGGGCTTACACCGGAGTAGCTGTTGGAGCCCCAGTTGGAGCAGAAGAAGGCTCTTCCCCATCCCGGTGGCCGTCCCCTTCCCTTGAACTCACGTGGAAGAGAAAGAGGGTCATCTCTGCTTCGGCCAAGCGCCGCCCGATGCACTGCCGTGCACCAAAGCCAAAGGCCAGGGCCTTGAAGCTGTTGTCTTCCTTGCCCAGCCAGCGCTTGGGGTTGTAGACCTCAGGGTCACGGAAGACTTCTGGACTGCGGCCCATCGCATAGAGCCCCACCTGGCACAGCGTCTGTTGGAGAGAGAGAGAGAGAGGTAAAGTAAAGGTAAAGGTTTCCCTTGCTCGAAAGCCAGTCGAATTCGACTCTAGGGATGCGGTGCTCATCTCCGTTTCCAAGCCGAAGAGCCAGTGCTGTCCGAAGACGTTTCCGTGGTCATGTGGCCGGCGTGACTAGACACCGAGGCGCACGGAACGCTGTCACCTTCCCACCGAAGTGGTACCTATTTATCTACTTGCAATTTCTTGCTTTCAAACTGCTAGGATGGCAGGACCTGGGGCCAGAGACGGGAGCTCACTCTGTCATGCGGCACACTCGGGTCTCGAACTGCCGACCTTTTTACAACCTCATAAAACATTTTAAAAATGCAATTGTTTATTAGATCCCCCCTCCCCCATGCGTGCAAACACCCACGGGGGTTCTCACAGTCCCCTCCCTCCTCACAGCTCCTGCGTTCAGTGTGAATGTCTTGGCACTTCCCCGGGGCCAGGCAGCAGATCTGGAGCCATCCGCCAGGGAGTCCACTTACCCAAGCCTCATTGAAATGAACAGGGACTGTGCCAGCCTTTGACAGATAACGCCAGTCAGGCCTGTACAGAGAATGGGAGCAGGGTGACTCGGGTGAGAACAGCAGAGACAACAAGGGCAGCGGGAGAAACTGGGAAGCCCCACAGGCAGGGGGTCTCTGAGGGCAGCAGCGCCCCCCCCCCCGTCCTGCTCCCGGGGCACCTTTCCTGGTGATGCCGGTGTGTGCCAGCTGCCCAGCTCCCTCTGCCACGGGGCTTGCTGCTCTGCCCAAGCAACTCTGCCCAAGGACCAGTCTGCAAAAGCTGCCCTAGAGGATCCGCAGCCGGGTGCATCCAGCTTTCTCTGCCACCTCCGCTCTCTCCACCTTTGGTGTTTCATGTGTGCAAAACCCAGGATGGATCAGAGGACAGAATGAGGGTGAAGCTCCCTCCCACAGCACCGGCAGCAGACCCACGTGGGAAAAACGGAGGACAAATTCAAACGCCGCTTGATAGACTTGCAGGAACAGGGGCACGATTTGGACAGCTTGTGGGCCCCAGGCGCATGTTGCCGACTGAAACTGGTTCTGGTGGAAAGGCTGCTTTGGGGTTTAGCCCGCAAACAAAAGATCCTGACGAGCGGCAAGCTTCACTCCACACTTCTTCATCCACAAACTGGGCCGTATTCAGACCTGAGAGGCAGACGAGGTGGTCCAGCGCACTCTCTCCACGGTGGTTCCAATCCAGATTTCCTCTGGTGGGGGGCACAGCCCAGAACTCCAGAGGAATTGTGAGTTACATCACCAGAACTTTGGAACTCCCTCTCCTGCGAGATCTGCCTTTCTCCCTCGACCAGTGTCTCTCACTAGCAGGTGAAGACTTCATTCTCTAGTATTCTTTGGGCGTTTTAAATTGAATGTTTCTGTTTCTAACAGCATTTTTATTGTTTAAAGATTCTGATTTTATTTATTTATTTTTACAGTTAGGTGCCTTGTGGACCCTGAGTGGCTGGAAAGGCAACAAAAGACTCATCCAAACAAAGTTTGAGTCCAGGGGCCCCTTTAAGACCAACAAAAGTTTAATTCTGGGTATAAGCTTTATCTGAAGAAGTCTGCATGCACACGAAAACGTATGCCCAGAATAAGACTTTTGTTGGTCTTAAGAGTGCCCCTGGACTCCAACTCTGTCCCGCTGCTTCAGACCAAGGTAGCTACTCCCCTCCCTCCCCGAATCTAGCAGAATTCATCAGAAAACGCTGAGAGGGTGGGTGGGAGGCCTCCCTCCAGTGGCCAAGAAGAGCAGGCCGGAGTTTCCCCCTCAATGGCTCACCTCCCTGGAGCTACACCAACCTCCACAGCTTAGAGGGAGCATTGCCTATGAGGGTAGGTGGGGCTGGGAGCAAGGCTCCCTCTAAGCTGTGCTGTGAGCAGAAATCCTACTTTGTCAGCTCCTGGCATTAAAGTGGTGAGCGAGCGATTTGGCTACTGGATACATTACTTTGCTCTGGAGCCCCATCCTCCCTGAGCTGAGACAAAAATGCGTGAGCCGGAGGCTAAAAAACTGTCAGCTAGCTCACACTAACTCAGCTGAGAGGGAACACTGGCTGAGAGAGCTCCGAGAGAACTTGTGACTGACCCAAGGTCAGCTTGCTGCAAGTGGAGGAGTGGGGGAATCAAACCCGGTCCTCCCGGATTAGAGCCCGCCACTCCCAACCCCATGCGATCCATAAAGTCTGAACATTTTTATCAAAAAGGTGCTGATTGGTTCACAGAAAGAGGATGCCGAGTAAATCCTCAGCCCCTCCCAGAAATCTGAGGGCAAGCTCCGTTCCCCCCCCTCCTTCCACTGTCTTCAGCTCCCTCCCCAGAGCTCCGCGTGGGGGAAATCGGTCACCTCCCCCTCTTCGCAGTGGGGCTGCCGGCCCTGGGTGTAGAGCAGCCGGTACTTCAGTCGCAGGGGAGCCTGAGGAGGGAGAAGAAAGGGTCAGAATCTCTGCAGCGCCCCCACACGCCCTCCTGCCCCCTCCCCCCCGTCCTGCACTGGGCCAGCGGCAACGGCTCCCTCCGCCAGGGCCAAGCGCTCCTGCCAGACCTGGCTTAGCTTGACCCCTGCGCCCGGGCAGCCGTGCCGCAATCACACCAGCGCTGTTCTCTGGACGCTGACCCAGCCCACCTGCCAACTTCCCCCCCCAGCCCCCCCCCGGCACCCACCTGGAGAGGGTTGGCCACCAGCAGGACTTGGGAAATGACCGCCGGGGGCAGGAGTGGGTTGAAGGCCTGCAGGGCGGAGCCTGTGGCTGGTTGCAGCTTGATGGACATGGACTGGAGAGGAGGAAGAGGAGGAGGAGATTGCATTTATACCCCACCCTTCAGTACCCAGGGGAGTCTCAGAGCGGCTTACAATCTCCTTTCCCTTCCCCTCCCCACAACAGACACCCTGTGAGGCGGGTGGGGCTGAGAGAGCTCCGAGAGAACTTGTGACTGACCCAAGGTCACACCAGCTGGCTGCATGTGGAGGAGTGGGGAATCAATTATATTTTAATTTGTATTATGTGTGTTTTTATCATGTATTTATGTTATTGGAAGCCGCCCTGAGCCTGCTTTGCAGGAAGGGCGGGGTATAAATCTGACAAGAAATAAATAAATAAATAGTTTTCATTCAACAGACACCTGTTGACGGCCTTACAACTTTTCAAAGCAAAGTTTCTTTTCCATTCAGATGAAACTGAACAACTTTTCACCAAAGCCTAGGAAATGTTAATAGATGAAAAAAAATAAGGGTACGAATTGGTGGTGGTAGGAAGAGGAGGAGGAGGAGAAGAGATTAGATTCGTACTCCAACCATCACTCGGAGTCTCAGAGCAGCTCACAATCCCCTTTCCCTTCCTGTCCCCACAACAGACATCCTGGGAGGTAGGTGGAGCTGAGAGAGCTCTGAGAGAACTGCTCTTCAGAGAACGGCTCTGAGAGAACTGTGACTGACCCAAGGTCATCCAGCTGACTGTGTAAGATTTCCAAGGCAAGAGATATTCAGAGGTGGTTTTCACTGCCTGCCTCTGTGTAGAGACCCTGGACTTCCATGGTGGGCTCCCACCCAAGTACTAACCCTGTCTAGTTTCTGGAATCTGATGAGATGGGGCTATCCTGGGCCATCCCGGTCAAGGCAAAAGCCATGCAGAGGTGGTTTCCCATTGCCTGCCTCTGCATAGCAACCCTGGACTTCCTTGGTCATTTCCCATCCAAACACTAACCCTGTTTAACTTCCAAAATCTGATGAAAGTTGGGCCCATCCAGGTTAGGGCAACGATGCAAATTAAGGCGGCACAAAATTCTTTTTTATAGTTTGCTGGCTCACAAAAGGGATTTGGCACATACCCAAAAAGGTTACCCCCCCCCAATTTTAACATAAAGGGGCCCTTTAGTCTTCATAAAAGTTATGCAAAACACAGGCTTTATGGTATACATAACACATTGTATGTTAGCTAGTTCTTGCTACGTGTGAATGACCGGTGGAAATTCTGCTTCTGTTGCTATACTGGAACGTTCTGCATGGCGACTGAGAGATGTAGTTACCGTCTGCCAACTTGTACTGGAAAATGATGTGAAAAACGTGGAGAGCATGATCCTTGGGAGGCAGGTGAGGAAGCCCCAAAGGCCCCCACCCAGCCACCAGGCCCTAAACTGCCCCCCCTTGATCGCTGCGTCTTAAGACATGAGAACTGCAAATGGGGAGGGGCCGTGGCTCAGGGGCAAAGCCTCTGCTTGGCATGCAGAAGGTCCCAGGTTCAATCCCCGACATCTCCAGTTAAAAGACCAGGCAGGAGGTGACGTGGAAGACCTCTGCCTGAGACCCTGGAGAGCTGTGAAGAGGGGCTGTGGCTCAGTGGAAGAGCCTCTGCTTGGCATGCAGAAGGTCCCAGGTTCAATCCCCGGCATCCTCAGTTAAAAGGGACCGGGCAGAAGGTGATGGGAAAGACATCTGCCTGAGACCCTGGAGAGCTGTAAAGAGGGGCTGTGGCTCAGTGGAAGAGCCTCTGCTTGGCATACAGGAGTTCCCAGGTTCAATCCCCGGCAGCATCTCCAGTTAAAAAGGACCAGGCAGTGGGTGATGGGAAAGACCTCCGCCTGAGACCCTGGAGAGCTGTGAAGAGGGGCTGTGGCTCAGTGGCAGAGCCTCTGCTTGGCGTGCAGAAGGTCCCTGGTTCAATCCCCGGCATCCCCAGTTAAAAAGGACCAGGCAGGAGGTGACGTGGAAGACCTCCGCCTGAGACCCTGGAGAGCTGTAAGGAGGGGCCTGGCTCAGTGGTAGAGCACCTGCTTGGCATGCAGAAGGTCCCAAGTTCATTCCCTAGCATCTCCAGTTAAAAGGACCAGGCAGGAGGTGATGTGAAAGACGTCAGTGGTTCAGTGTCAGAGCCTCTGCTTGGCATGCAGAAGGTCCCAGGTTCAATCTCCAGCATCTCCAGTTAAAAGGACCAGGCAGGAGGTGATGGGAAAGACCTCTGCCTGAGACCCTGGAGAGCTGTAAAGAGGGGCCTGGCTCAGTGGGAGAGCCTCCGTTTGGCATGCAGGGAAGTCCCAGGTTCAATCTCCAGCATCTCCAGTTAAAAGGACCATGCAGGAGGTGATGGGAAAGACGTCAGTGGCTCAGTGGAAGAGCCTCTGCATGGCATGCAGAAGGTCCCAGCTTCGGTCCCCGGCATCTCCAGTTGAAAAGACCAGGCGGTAGGTGATGTGAAGCGCCTCTGCCTGAGACCCTGGAGAGCGGCTGCCAGTCCGAGTAGACAAGACTGACCTTGACGGACCTGATTCTAGATAAGGTGGCCTTCTGTGTTCATGTGCGTTCAAATGCCAGATAGGCAGGCCTGGGTGGTGGGAAATACTCGGGCCCTTCCGGGAGGGCGTGGCCACACAAGCCAATGAATACTCACCCCAGCCGGCACGTAGTAATTCTGAATCACCACATCTTGCGTCGGATAGCGCTGGACAGTGATGCCCACGGGGTAGAGCCTGCAAAAGAAATAGCCGCGTTGGCAGATTCTCAGTCTTCAAGAATAACACACAATACTGTGAGCACTTTAATTTTAAATTGTTTAATTATTTAACTGTTTTAACCAGTGTTCCATCGAAGCTGAGTGAGTGTAAGCTAGCTCACAGTGTTTTAGCCTCCCGTTCACACATTTTTGTCTCAGCTCAGGGAGGACGGCTCCAGAGCAAACTAATTTATGCAGTAGCTAAATTGCTCGCTCACCACTTTAATGCCAGTAGCTCACAAAGTGGAATTTTTGCACACAAGACTCCACAGCTTAGAGGGAGCGTTGGTTTTAACTGTTAAATTGTTCAATTGTTTTTAACTGTTTATGATTCTGGCATACTCTGCCAAACATTGTTAGCCGCCCTGAGCCTGCTTGCGGGGAGGGCGGGATATAAATGTAATAATAAATAAATAAATAAACAATCCCAAGACAGTCTGGTATGAAAAGAATATATACAGATGTGTCCTAAATGCCCACAGAATAATACAATGACAAAAGAGACTAGATTAAAGCCATGGCATCATTTAGTGTCTGTCTGGTAATGAAAAACAACCACTTATTCCTTCACAGAAAAAATGCAAAGGTCAATAAAAGTACACATAGCAGTCTGCTCCAAACTCTCTCAGTCAATATCCTTCTAACAGTCTTGTGCTCTCAAAAGCAGCCTGCTCCAAAATCAATCTCTCTTTCAACACTCATTCCAGATATTTAAGTGTTTCAGGCCTCTGGCCTTTCCTCAGGATCAAATCCTATATAGCAGTGATGGCGAACCTTTTAGAGACCGAGTGCCCAAACTGCGACCCAAAACCCACTTATTGATCGCAAAGTGCCAACACGGCAATTTAACCTGAATACTGAGGTTTTACTTTAGAAAAAAACAACTCAAACATTAACTTAAGATGATCCAAACATAGTAAGGAAAGCAATCCCAAATGCTTTCATTTACTTAAAATTATTTGGCAGAGAATTCGACACTTTAATGATGGTCTGGGCCTGGCTGGGGCAATGGCACGCGTGCCCACAGAGAGGGCTCTGAGTGCCACCTCTGGCACCCGTGCCGTAGGTTCGCCACCACTGCTATATAGGAATCTCACCTTCAGTGGGTCCATGTGACTTTGGCAGCGGCAGCAGCATGCTTGAGAATAAGTGAGGAGTCCTTGCCCAAGTAGATTAACAGAGAAGTAAATCAATGAATGTGTAAACTTGAAGGTAACACTGAATGTGAGATTCCTATATAGGTTTTGTTCCCGAGGAAAGACCAGAGGTCTGAAACACATTGACGGTGACCCACCTGACTCTATCCCTAAGAGCGG